GACGCAGGAGGGGGGGGCGGGGGGGGGGAGAGAACGAGGGCGGAGGAGGACCGAAGAGGTGGAGGAGGGAGGAAGGATGAATAGGAGTGAGGGGGAAGGAGGAGGAGGAGGATGGAAGAGGATGGGACACCCGACCGCCCCCGTCATCGAGGCGTCGAGGTGGAGGTTCCAAACACCCCACCGAGCCCCCCGAGCGCGGGATGGTCTGGCGAGGCGGGGGGGGGTCCTCCTCCTCTATTTCTTCTCCTTATGAACAACTCCTCACTGTCGCACCCCGAGGCCAGAGGGAATGACGGGCCGGGCGTTGCGCCTTAGACATCCTCACCGTTTACGATCCCGAGGCTTACAACATGGATCCTCACAGTTTCACGGATTCTCACAGTTTCACGGATGGAGGGCGGGTCGCTTTCAAACTATGTCTTTTTTTAAGCGCCGCGTGCACCCGTCTGAAAAACTCGCAAGCGTTTCACGGATTGGGGACAAGTCGGTTTCAACATGTGGCTCTCGCCTTATCTCCGCGCACCTCCGTCTTACAAGTGTGCACGGGTTTCGCGGGCCGAGGCTAAAGCATGTTGCTCCAGCCTTAGCACCGCACGCAATCGCCTCAACAATTTGCAAGAGCTTCGCGGATGGAGGGCGGGTCGTTTTCAAAATGTGGCTCTCACCGTAGCGACGCACACAATCGTCATGACAAGATGCAGAAGTTAGGGAGCCCACAAAAGGACGTACGCGCCCAGCTATGCACATGAACGCGGCCCCTCGATTCGCGAGAGCGGCCGCGTTATATGAACATTTGTGCAATGCGTGCTCTCGAAACCAGCGCGGATTCATGTACACCCTGCGAAATGGTTAAGAAATCATGGGTTAAGAAATTCATAGTCTCAGAACTTGAATAAAAACCCAACATTTCTATCAAAATGTTGGGATTTACGTGGAAACATTAAGAATAATCGAGACCCTGGCCGAGCACGTAGGTTTTCTTAAGCATCGCCTAAGGTGTACATGTACGTCCTTCTTTCGCTCCTGAGAATCGGGGAGACGTAAGACCCGGGTACGGGGGACTCGGAGATCCCCGACGAGGTCGTCAAAAAAATGACGAGGCCGAGCCTGCATTTTGACGAGGCCTCCCGCTGCAGACATCCCACGAAACTCCTCCTCGTCAAAATCCGAGGCGCGGTCGTCAAAAAACGATGGCGAACCCGAGTCCCGGCAAACCCGGGTCTTACGCTCCCCCGAGAGAAGCTTCGCGGACGGAGGGCGGGTCATTCTCAAGATGCAGCACTCGCGCGCCGCGCACGGTCGTCACGACACGTGCAACAACTGAACGGATGGAGGGCTGCGCTCCTCCTCAAAGGGCGGAGGGCGGGTCATTTTCAAAATGCAGCGCTCGCGCGCCGCGCACGGTCGTCATAACACGTGCAACAATGGAACGGATGGAGGGCTGCGCTCCTTCTCAAAGGGCAGCGCTCGCGCGCCGCGCACGGTCGTCATAACACGTGCAATAACTGAACGGATGGAGGGCTGCGCTCCTCTTCAAAGGGCGGCTCTCGCCTTAGCGCCGCGCGTATTCGTTTTGAGAGTTGACGACCGGCTCAAGGGTTCTCACGGTGACCGTCCCAGGAATAATGTTCTGGCATGATGTCGGACTGTCAGGGCGCACCAGTTACGTTGATTCGTGGTGTTGATGTCCCAGGCATGGTTGTCTGACGCGGTTCAGGATCGCCAAGACGCAACAATACTGGCGACCCGCGACGTTGAAGTCCCATGAATGGTGTTCGGGCACCGTTCCGGAATTTCAAACGGTTATTCTCCAACGGGGCACTTCCTCCATTGAAAACGAATCCTTGCGGGGGCCTGTGAGGAGGGAGCCTGGAGGGAAGGTGTATTGCAATATCTCTGATGGGCCTTGGGTTCACACTGGCCTCCTCCTTCTCCTCCTCCTCCTCCTCTTCCTCCTCCTCCTCCTCCTCCTCCTCCCTCTCTTTTATGGCCACCTCCTCCCTCCACCGTCACTCTTCCCCCTCCCTTCCTCCGCATTCGGCTTCCGCCCCTTCTCCCCCCCTTCCTCTCCTCTGCGGGGCGCGGCTGCCTGGGCCGCTGCAGCCACGGGTGCCGCAGGCACTGCCCCGCAGTGGGGCGGTCCTCGGGCCTCGCGCGGGGGGGGGGGCGCCCTGGGCGACCACAAGAGCGACGGCGGCCGCCTTCCTCTCTCGTCTCCGCCCTCGTGCCGCACCCAGACTGACGAGAGAACTAAACCAGTTGGTACTTGCCTTGGTGCCCCTGGTCTCCCAGCTGTGTCTCCTGACCTTGATCTCCCAATTGAAGTTCACTCTCTCGGTCTGCTGATCGTCCCTCCCTGTCTTGGCTTCCCCCGCCTCGCCCTGGCCGTCGCAGTCCCGGGCGACGACGGCGGCGGCCGCTTTGGCGCTACTCCTTCCTCCGTCCTCCTCCTGCCTCCTGCCTCGCCCTCCCACTCGAAAGTTCTTTTTCAACTATCCGC